ACTTTGATAATGTTGGTGGAACAATTACAGATGAGGTTATCAAACAGGTGAGATATATGTATTAAAACCTTTTCAGCTGCATTGTTTTTCCGCCATAATATTGGTGCCATGTTGTTCCTATTTTTGCGTATTTTTTTTATCAATTCTTTTATAATGGCTTCAGGCCCTACAAAAATTTGATTTTTTTTTATTATTTTGTGAAATAAGACAAGAGTTAACTTTGGTGCTCAAAGGGTTAAACATTTACAGTGAGTCTTAGAAGTACTGGGGCTGCAATTTGGCAAACTAGTATGCCTTGGATTTGAATAAATATTTTGGTTATTCCAGACTTGACGTTGCAAATTGATTGTCCTTTGCTTTGCCATATCAATGATTATTAAGGGTGTAACAATTCATTATCATTAACTTTAAGTCACATTACCATGATAGTTATTTTCAACCTATCATTGTTAAATTTGCAGAATATATACAGACAACATTGTGATAAAAATTAAATATATTTACATGCATGTAAAGAAAAAACTAGTTTTGACTTTTGAAACTTAGCATTAAATACCTTTTGTTTTGAGGTGGGTCCAGTTATGAATGTCATTTCCTATGCACTACTTTTAATGATCGTAAACCCATTACAATATTTCATACATGCAAGTCCCTCAGAAAATACTAATCCACAGATGGCTGTCACAGGCAGTAAATGCATAATATCTTGTTTAGCATATTCTAGTCATTATCCCTATTTCTGTGGAAATGTATCCATTTAAGTGAATAATCAGCCATGACGATGTCATGAAACTCATTAGTATTCAGAATGCTGGAATCACCATAATACTGGTAGTCCTAACTTATTGAGTTTCTCTTTTCCTATAGATGAACTCTAATTCCCATATAATACTATGTGGAACAATAGCAACCTATAATACTGATCTTCCATATCCGCCACCGTTATCCGATGATATTCAAGACATCGTCGAAGACCAGAATATTACAAGAGATCGATTCCTTGTCATCAATTATATTAGTAGGTTTCCTAAAAGCATTAAGCAGCTTGCACAGTGGTATAAGCAAGGAAAACTCAAGGCAAGTATACTGACAAATGTTTGCAACAAGCAGGGTTTCAACTTGAACTTTGCAGTTAAGAGGGCACCAGATTTCAAGGTCAAATCTACCAATAATAAAAAATTGTCCTAGCATACAGGCATCAGGACAAATGCCTTGGGTATCAAGGCTATATTACCATTTATGTTTCAGTGAAGTTCATGCTGTGAACTAGAATATTACGTGAAGTTAAAATTTGATGTTGACTATGCAATTATTTTTTTTCGTCATTGTGTCGATCAGTTTGAAACCACCTCACTTTTTTGCAATTTTGCATACTAGTTAAGTGCGCCACCTATGGCAGAAGGGGAAATGTTTGTTTTCCATTTCAGCGGGATGTTTTGTTGATTAAAATCAACCTTTAATGCGTGTATATGGTAATTTTTAATAATTACTTCTGTATTTACAGGTAGATCCAATTTCCCAAATATACATCTACACCACTATTGTAGTTTCTTATGAGACATTCAGAAATTCTTGCATTTGACTCGCACCTGATATTGTCTCTCTTGCAGGTTCGTGAGACAATTTCCGGCGGAATTTCAAGTTCACCAAAAGCGTTCATATCCATGATGACTGGAGGCAACATAGGAAAACAAGTTGTACATATCGCTTATCTTTGATAATTCATACTGGACTTGAGAAAGGAGTATCCAGGCACCTGCTTGAAAAGTAACCTCATATGTGATTGGCTAAGAAGGAGATCATTGTTAGGAATTTCAATGTGGAAGCCAATAACACAAACTGTTGTCTGAAGTTTATACTGCTATCTAAAAATACTTGACATGTATGTTATCTTGTTCCTGATTGGTTGAATACCACATTTTGCTGAATTTGTAATCCTGAGGACCAATGATATCATTTCTCTAAAGATGATAAATCATCTGGGTTGCATGCTGCATTCTTAATGTTGGTAAATAGCTGTGACACTTATTAAGGTGGTTTTTAATGAAAGTGTGCTATTGTTACAAATCAAAGCATTTTTTTTAATGTGGCATGTGATAGGAGTAGAATTCATTTGTACTTGACAAGTGTATTGTGGGTATATTGATATAATTTTTGTCTTGAGGGCAGTTGGGTCTCATTTTATTATGATACGCACATTGGTGAAATGCGAATTAAATGTTAATAATGTAGCGAGCACTGCCATTTAAAGAATCAAGGTCATCGTAATGGATTGCATTTTTTTTTTACCCAATACCTGATGTTTTTGTTATCCATTTAGACTTTTAGCAGGTGAGGTGCTAAATAAACTAACACATCATATATGTTGCTACTGTGGGTATATTAAGTATGAGACCCATCCTGAATGCATGTGATTTAGACAACTACCAACTTTTATAGTAGCCTTGCTTTGTTTTGGCTTTTATACAGTTGGCAGATATTTGAATGTTATTATCAAGCCTGGCAGTGAATATATCACAGATCGTTGCTGTATTTGCTCAATTTGTGAATGCACTTACAAATGACAGATTTGTGTTAAAATCCTATTTAAAGTATTGTGTTTTGTTAGTTCACTTTTATCAGAGATGCACGTCAATGTTTTCTGTATGTGTATGCCCATGTGAGTTTGACTAATGACCAATAATTTCTAACTGAATGATGAAAAAAACATGACTGCATATTAAAAATACATTTTGTAATTGATACATTTCACTCATGTTCAACACATGTCCATTTTGAGTGTTGTTTGTCCAGTTGAGATGGGAGATCCACATTTTTGAGCTCTGGTGATTCACTGTTATATTCATCACTTTACCTCATAAGTTTTTCTATGCACCATTGTGGATTATGTTAAATCCGATTTACACTTAATATTTTTTTGCTGCATGATAGTTCCAGGTTGATAGCATCTTTGCCACCTTATACTAAATGTGAAGCCACAACAATTTTGTTTGTTTTTTACTCTATAAAATGTTTTCTAGAGGCTCCATTCCCTAGTCATTCGAAGTGCACCATGAATGCAATGCATTTTGAAATCTGTATTTGTATTTGAGACATTCCAACAGATCATGTTGTATGGCAATTGTCTGCTATTGCTTGTATGTTCTTCACCATTGAAGCTAACTGCATTAAATTCTGTATACTTCATTGTAACTATATTTATTTGTGTTCATTAAACTATGCACATTGAACAGTTCTCTTAGAAATTGTATTTCACATTGTGAAATAATGACTCAACTAACTGATCACTAAAGCAATGTTGTCATTGTTTGAAATAAAAGTAATGATATAATGTTCAAGAGGCATACAACTTCAACATCCATATAAACTGGAAAATAGCTTCTTCGTACACTAGTGCTTCCGAGTTTACACAAAAAATCAAATGACTTGGAATAATATTTTTAGTGTTGCAGTCATCATGCATCTTCAAATTTTGTGTAAACAAAGAATGTATTTAACTTGCGTTGTATATGCCACATGCGACCCATAGTGAACATGACATGGCGCGATGACTATGGCACTTTAAGAAGGAATTTCAAAACTGTGTTTTGCATGCAATGTTGTCAATGTTTTATAACCTTATTAAAATTAATACCATACTACTCAATTTAATAACCAAATCTCCGTTCTGACCTCAAGTATTGTATTAAACGTTTTTTTAGTTGTTGAGTTGGTGTTAAATTGTTTTTCAGTTTGTGTTATTCTATTCTCAATATGCTACTTCAGCCTAGATAGAATCTATGATATTTCACTCACTATATGCCCTGCAATCTAACATGCTCTATGGTGCTAATGGTACATCATTATTAATTCAGATAGGCATATAGCCAGTGGAACATTGCGTAGATTTTAGGCTGGAGTGGTGTATAGGGAATGGAATACCACATATGTTCTAGGCTAGCTACATATTTGCCCTCACGAATTTGTCTATAGGTTTCCCATGGATTCTTCTATAGCAATTTTTTCACGCCTCATAGCAGGGCTCATAAGTTATTATTTTTATGTAAATTTCAATTTTTTTTCACAAGTTATGATTTAAAGAAAAGAAATATAGATTGTTGAAGTAAATAGTTGGAAAATAAATTCAAATTAAAAATTAATTGTGTACTATTTTATGACTGCTGTATGTAATTTACACCCATGTGCGTTTCACTCTTCACATTTCCACTAGAATTTCCAGACAATTTATTTCAAATCAGGATTTTCAACTTTTCAGAATATCCAAACAATATTACTGACTTCCCATTCAACAATAATGATTTTCTAGGTCATGTGATCAACTTTATGTTAATTTTTTTTTAGGAACTTTTCTATCATTCCATGCTATTTTTCCCATGTAACTTTATCTACTTTCTATGCAACTTAGACTTTCCATGGAACTGCAGGCAACTTTATTCACTTTCCATGAACTTCACCTACTTTTGAAGCAACTTTTCGGACTGTTCATACTTTCCATGCAAATTTTCCTGCATTGGAGTTAATTTTATCGACTTCCTAATGCAACTCGAGTGACTTTTCAGGCAACATTACCAATTTTACATTCAATATTACTGACTATTTCAGGCACCTTTTCCAGATAACATAATCGATTATCAACTTTCCATGCAACTTTTCCTTCACCGACTTTTCAGTCAACTTTATGATTTTTTAGCTCCACTGTCGACTTTGTCGAGCGGAGCTTATCATATGAGTGATTGTCCATTGTCGTCAGTCGTTCGTAATCCTTGTCAATGTTTTACTTTTTTGACTTCTTCCTGTGAACTACATGTACATGCTTGAATGCTTTGATACTTGGTGTATATGTACTTTCGGTAGACCTCTCTCAGATTTGTTCATTTCATGATGATATCTTCAATTCTCTAATTTTGGTGAATATTTTTGGTAAAAAGTGATATTTTTGATTTCTTGTTAAAAACCGCAAGTCCAATTTCTTTGATATTACATATATAGGTACTACATGTGGACCTCTCCCAGATTTGTTCATTTTGTAGTGATATCTTCAATTCTCTAATTTTGGTGAATATTTTTGTCATTTTTGGTGAAAAGTGATATTTTTGACTTCTTGTTAAAAACCGCAAATCCAATTACTTTGATATTACATATATAGGTACTACATGTGGACCTCTCTCAGATTTGTTCATTTTTTAATGATATCTTCAATTCTCTAATTTTGGTGAATATTTTTGTCATTTTTGGTAAAATTGATATTTTTGACTTCTTGTTAAAAACCGTAAGTGCAATTGCTTTGATATTACATATATAGGTACTACATGTGGTCCTCTCTCGGATTTGTTCATTTTCTGATGATATCTTTTATTCTCTAATTTTAGTGAATATTTTTTCAATTTTTGGTAAAAAGTGATATTTTTGACTTCTTGTTGAAAACCGCAAGTCCAATTGCTTTGATACTATACATATAGGTACTACATGTGGACCTCTCTCAGATTTGTTCATTTTCTAATGATATCTTCTGTTCTTTAATTGTAATGTGCATTGCTAACAGCAGAGCTATCTCAGCCGACAGGCTGCTTGTTCAGAAATGTTAACGCTTTCCATGCAAAGTTTCTGACACTGTACTCAACTTTACCAACTTTCCACGAACTGTACCGACTTTGCTGGCAACTTTTCCGACTCTCCATAAAACTTTATTGATGTTCCATGCAAATTTTTCTGATGTTTCATGTAACTTTACTGACTTTTTATGCAACTACACAGACTTTCCGTGATTTTACCAACTTTGCAGGCAACTTTATCGACTTTGCACGAAAAGGTTCCGACTTTCCAAGATGTTTGGTTTTTTATTGTGCTCTCCCGAATTCAATTCATTCCAACTGTTCTGACGCTACATGCAAGATTTCTGACTTTTCAGTCAATTCTTCTGAACAGGTATCAACGATTTTTTTTACCCTTCCCCATATTTAGCAATATATAATCCACTATCATAAAATCCTTTGTTTGATGGCTGATATGGGTGCTATGGACATCAGCGTATTACGTTATTTCTCGAATAAACATAGCCCATCACCATATGTATAATCACAAGTAAGCCACGTTGAAATCTCGCGCCATTTCAAATTTATCAATGTGTGCATGCGCAGTGACACGGACAAATTTACATACCGTGCCTGACATGCGCAGAAAAGAACCGCGAAGTTTCATCGTTTGACCTCATCTCAACTTGTCAGTTGTTTTTGCGTGTCGTGTCTACAGAGTGAAGATCCAACTATTAATAGGTAATATGAGTCTGTGGGTTGATAAATACCGGCCAACATCGCTGGCAAAGCTGGATTACCACAAGGAGCAAGCAGCCAACATAAAACAATTGGTAAGTGACCCAGTGGCCACTGTTTGTAGTTGTCACTCTCCCATTCGTTTGACCATGGAGCTAAAAAAAGATTTTTTAGCTCCATGGTTTGACGAATGAAGCCGCTAAAACCGACTATTTACAAAAGTTGTTGAAAACGATGCATTGTACGGTTCAGTATACAGTGTTGTGGTGTCCGGAGACGCGGTTTATTCTGCCACATTTCGCCGAATCTGCGCAACACACAGTGATTGTTATCTAACTTGGGGTAACCATTTGTAATCGAGGGAGGGGGCTATTATTATTCACATCCGCAGTGCAAGATACAGTATGTATAAATATTATCCTTCACCTTGCGATGAAAAGTTTCCCACAGCGAAACCAAGACAGCTAGCTAGTCTTTTTCCGATCGCCTCCCAGTTACAGCCACAGATGGTTTTCTACAATCGACAGAAATATTACTATTCTTCTATTTTTTCAAAATAAACTTTCAGTCATTATTGTTATTGTCCTTGAACAATGCAAGTAATTGTTGTTATCCAGTCTGAACTTCTCATATAACTTAGATAAAAATTGTACTGAGTCATGATTTTTTATTCTCCACCAAATGTAGGTGATATTTCACACTAAATGTCATAACTGAGAATGTGAACCATGGTCATGTGATCAAATGTAATACTGTAAAATACTTTTGTTTTCGCTATTTTCGCTGAAGGAAGGATTCGGTTAAAATAAAATACAGTGAATATACCCGTTTTTCAATATTTTACATTCAACTTTTCAAAAATCAGTGAAAATAAATTTCATACAAAACACCCAAAGTCTTTTCAGCGAATATTAATTCCAGCTGAAATAAAGTATTTTACAGTACTGTTTTAATTATGCAAGACAAGGAAAATAAGTGTACAATGTAGCTATGTGTTTAGTTACTTCAACCACTTCCCCACCCCCACCCCCAATGTCTTATTTTCAATGGTACAAGATTTTTTTTCTGCCCCTAGGGCATTCATAGATTCTTTTGCATAATTTTGTCGATGGGAATGTTTGTGAATTACCAATCATGTAAAAATCCAGGGTTTTACATAATTTTTTAGATGTGGGGGTCATTGGGATCTCTTGTCTGAAAATGTGGGGGTCATAATTACAAATTTAAGGGTCATACACAAATCAAGAAATTGATATCTGTTAAATAGGGAAAACAATACAATAGAGAGATAATGAGATGATTTGAGTTCAATGGAGGAGTACCGGTATGAAAAAAACATCTTTATTCATACAACGAATTCTGAACATGCATGAAATCAGTAAAAGCATCGCAATAACATAAACAGTTCGCAGCTGAGCTGCGTATGATTTCAGATTGTCACTTGTACCTTGATATTTCCTCTCGTTTGCTACCTGACGAGCAGCCGTAAAGTCTGACTTTTTGGACAACACACGGACACTGATGTGACTTCTAGAGTTTCGAAAATTTGAACACTCGTCAGTAAAAGGGTTTTTGGCTTTCGCTCTCACCCAAACTTCACATTCCATAACGTATCGGTCTGATATGTAACGAAGCCATTTTATACGATTTAGTCACCCATCGTTGAAAGAACGATCCTTCTTTGGTAAAACGTGGGGCTTTTCACTGGACGTAGCTGGTGAAGCTTCAACAGGAGAATTAGTAGACTGGCTGGACAGCCTGCCGCAAAAGAAAGACGGAGGTTGGCCTGCCTTGGCACTGTTGCCATGTTTAAATGTTGAGGACCATTTGAAGTTTAGAGCCAATCAGAAACAAGCTAACACCTTGAAAAAGTATAAATACAAAGCGTCTACGTAGAACATTTTTTGTGATTGGTGTAAATAGCAACGCACATACGAATGACCATTTGGAGTGTTCCATTTGAAATCGAGGGACGTTCTAGTATTACAGAGCCCATTTAGCAACTTACTGCAGATCAAATGGAGGGGTGGATTACTGACGACTTGACGCCAAATTTCCTGCGTCCCGTAGGACGCACTGCTGATTTTTATAAGGGTCATACGGTCATAATTATGCGTCAATATATTGCGTCATGTAAAACCCTGAATATCTGGAACTCAAAATTGTACGTTTTACTGTAGATTATCTGTACTGACTTCTTGAATGCAGGTACACAGTGGTGATTTTCCACATCTACTTGTCTATGGGCCGTCAGGTGCTGGCAAAAAGACGCGTATAATGTGTCTGCTTAGAGAGCTCTATGGATCAGGAGTCGAAAAGTTACGACTTGAACATAATAATTTTACGGTGAGTGTAAATAAAATGTCAAAGTAATTTATGTTTTTTGAACTACAAATTAGTTCTTGCATGATAATTTTAGATGACTTTTTCCAGCATGTAAAAATCTTCTGTAATCTTGTGATTTCACATCAGTGCGAGTCCTAATAGTATCGTTTTTATAAGCAAAGCTTATATCTATATCAACAATCCTCAGATTGACGATCCACTGAGGGACACAAACAATCATTTTCCTGGCCATGGCAATGGTAGGACATGATTTAGATTTGATGCGCATGATTTGTGCGCACTGTGATATAAGTGTAAAACAGTAATTAACTGTGCATGTCTCATTGCCATGGTATGATTTTTTTGTCAAATTATTCACCTAACTAGTGTTCAGGTGTGACCGGCCTATCAAGTTTGAACGAAGTTTGTCACTTACTTTAATTGCATTCTTTTGTTTACATCGTACTGAATACAGCCTCACAAGTTTCATTTTTCACTAAAGAATATTTTTCACTGGGCTGTCTCTCTAAATTATTGCTATAAGCAGGAAAAAGAAGTATAATATTCAGTTTTATATCGTGAGAATACCGCAAAGTATGCATTCAGGCAGTAAGGGATTGCATCAGCCCTGAAAATGCTCAGTCAATACAAGCGCTGTATTGCCTTTGTGCCTACTTGGTGTGGTTCTCTTGATAACATCATTGAGTTCATGACATTACACTGTGTTTTATATTATCATTTATTTATTCTGTTTTGTTTTTTAGACACCGTCAAATCGTAAAATTGAGATAACTACTATAGCCAGTAATTATCATATTGAAGTAAACCCAAGGTGAGCAGAAATATTTAAATATTCCAATGTTTTTCTTTGTTTAAAGAAAACAATATTATTTTGGTATCCCTTACCTTACCAAAACTTTTGCTGAAATTTGTATTTATGCAAATTATCCATGTTTGAACCATTTATCCATATGCTCATTTGCTTGAACATTTTATGCAGTGGAAGGCCAGAATTTGACTACAAGGAATTAACATTAGTCCACTGAAGAAAATAAAAAGTAAAATAAAATG